GGGGGACCGCGATGAACGCTCTTTGGCAGTTTCGGCTCGAGAGGCTCCACACGTTCCGTACCTGGTGCAGTCTTGAGAGGAATGATGTTACGCATGTTCTTCCCTCTATAATCAACAGGTGCGAGTTGTGGGACAGTGGGTGGGCCACGAACGGGACGAAGTTGATCGAAACCGGCCAGGCCCTCCGGAAGAGCGATGGATGATGATAAGTGAGGTGGTGTGACGGAGGAGGGTGTAGATGAAGTTGAGTGTGGTGAGCCGCCAATGGCTTGGAGTGACTGGTCTTGATAGTTTGAGTAGAGGGAAGATATCGGAGGCATGGCACGTCGAGAGTCGTACTCGTCGTGATACGAAATGTGTGACGAGGATTCATGAACAGCTGGGTAAAGTGAACCGTAATGCGAAGGCTGGACAGATGGATGGTTCGACCGCAACCCAGACGAAATATTCTGAGTATAACCACTCGACCCAGAGGAGTAGCTCGATTCACTAGGATACGTCGCACCAGATCCTGGAATCCCAGGCATATCAGCCAGCCCAAGCTGACTCAGCGCGGCAGCATCGAACATAGCTTGGGTCGCGGAATAAGGATCGACTCGCTGTTGGGATGAGGATTGTTGCTGCTGATGACGTGAACTTGGACCACCCGATGCGACGTCGCGCCCCAAAGTAACGAGGAACTCGTTGACTGCTGCAAGTTCTTGAGGTGTTCGAACTTGGAAGGATACTGAGCGAGGGTTAAAGGAGTTCGAACTTTGTTCTTGGTTACCGGATCCAAGACCTTGAGAGTATGCAATATTGTTCAGTCGTTCCACCATATCTGCTTCAAAGATTAGAAACTCGGACAAGGACAAGGCAGTAGGCGTAATGCTCACGAGGATCATAAGATGGGGTGACCCTCCGTTTCTTCATATCAGAGAAGAACTCATCGACAAAGTCGTGAGATCTCTTCGAACCTGTGCCCGATGAGCTCGAAGAGCCCTCTCGAAGAACCTCCCAAGATGGGAGCGAGTTTTGGAGGAATAACTCATGAGCCGAAACAGGGGGATTGTGAACTGAAGATGGCTGCAACTCTGGCGATGGAGTGGGCAATACACCATATGGTGAATCTACATCACAATCAATATTAGATTGCATCTCGACTTACAAAAATGAATCATACCAGCTGTGCTTTGCGCAGTGGAACGTGATCGAGCACGTGCGACTGGCGCTTGAACGGAAGATCGAAACTTTTCCTTCGAATCCCCTTGAGCTCGCTGGGAGAAGGAAGGGTCGGTGACAGTGATAGCTTTGGAATGTTTGTGTTGCTGGTGGTGCTCCTCGGTATGGATCTTCTCATGTTTCTTCAAGTCTTGGGGTCGCTTGAAAGATTTTTGACAAATCTGGGGAAACGGTCAACCGGTGATAATTCCGAAGAATCGGCGAAACATACGTCGCAGATGTGAGGTTTCAGCGGGGTGTGTACTGAGGCAGAAGTTAGTGCTTGGACATGGAGTAATAATCGAAGGGACGTGCCTCGCAAATGACTAGTAATGTGATCTCGCTTGGAGCAAGTTGTCCCGCAGTCTTTCCACTTGCAAGTCAAGCAGAGATTGTTTGTGCTCTTGCGACCGATGTGGTCATTGCACAGATGGTTGTACAAGACCTCTGGATCGGAGACAACCTTTCCGCAGTCGATCCACATACACTTGTGGCTCGCCCCCTCCGAAGACGACGGAGGTTCGGAGAGTTCTGTCTTTAACGAGGCAGGAGATCCTGCGGGGGGAGATGCGGAGCGAGCAGCATGGGGTGGGGAAGGGAGGGATGGGGGAGGCATGTAGTAGTTTGCTTGCCAGATGGCAGCGTTGAGCGATTGTTCAAGGTCGTGGAGCGGAACGAGGTTTAACGAGACAGAATCCATGGCAGAGTCGGAAAGTATTTATGCTTGCCGAAATCTCCTAAGCACGCCAAGACCCCCTTGGCACAGGTGGCGACGCCGTGAATGCCAAGAGTTTGCCAAGCCTTTTTATCCCAGCCTCCTTGGTCTCGACAGATTATGTAATCACCCTGCCAGCAATCACCCCCTCAGTCCGCAGCACCTCGCTTGTGCGCTGGCATCTGCGGGCTTCGTCGGCCTCATCATCCCTGATACTTATCTGTACACTATCTGTCGTCGCATTTTTCCAATTCATCCAGCAAAAGGATCCATTTCTCAACCTGGGGACAGAGACCATGCTCGGCTTGGCGGTGCCAGATCATGATCGAGCGTGCGAAGCGAAATTAACTTGTGTCCTGATCTCGCCAAGATTGCCAAGTTGGGCTAAGCTTCGCGAATCTCTCGGCGCCGTGGCTACAGCGTCTTCCAAGTCTCTTCCTTGTCGGGAGCGCTGACCTGCCAAGAGGTTCTCCCAACGACCACCCTCTGGAGAGCGACACAGACTCTTGCCATAAAAATAGAACCCCATTCAACGTCGTGCGTACCCGGTACCTACTCAAAACAATAGTCGCGTAAAATCCCTTAATTGACACTGATTGTACCGGACCTAAAGATAGGGCGGTTAAAGATAGCTTGAGGGATGACGACGGCATTAACCTAACTTGCCTAATGTCAGATCAGAGAGTACAGGTACTCACAGCCAAGGAGGCTCGTGGATCGTCAGCTTACAGCGTCCGTGAATCGTCTATGGAATGCCGACTTGGCCGAAGTGAACTTGCTGCGTGAAGCCATGGTCCGTGGATACACCGTATTTGTCAACCGGAAATTTCAAGCCAAGAGATTGCGAAGAAATGAGTCGCACAAGAACAGCGCAGCGTCTGCGGGTGGCGCCAAGGTCACTTCCAAGTCTTTCCGAGTTGGACTCAACTGGATCATAGATTGTGAGGGAACACTCGTGCAGGGAGCACCTCGCCTTCCATATCCCCACTCATCGGATCTTGAGTGAATGAATATCAAACCCAGAGACTACACAACTCAAAGTGACAGATGCTTGGCTTCTGGAGGTGAAGGCGCCTAAACGGTTTGGGCGTCTATCATCCGTAGTCGGCCTAGACAGGGTATAGTGTTACGCAAACTTGTGCACGAAGTGCGACAGTGGCCGGCTGGATGAAGAAGATTATCAAAGTCGAATCGGAGACGAGATGATGCATACTTGCCATCTCAAACCTTCGCTCGTCGGCCTCCAGGGGTCGTTGTGTGAATCTCCAAAGTAGACTCGACTCAGAGACGGGGCAGATGCAATAGTGGCCGCCTAAGGACACACACAAACGGCCGCCATCTCAGAGTAACTTTGAGAAGAAGCTGATACCAATCTCCTTGTTGCGAATATCCATACAATCGGCAAATAGAGGGTATTCCAGAATTGCATGAGCGAAGGTTCGAGTCGCCGCATATACTTACTCTTGTTTCGGACATACCGAAAACGGAAGCATCGCATATCTTTCCGAACCTTATGTGGCGCTTCTCAAACAAAGTCAGTGACTGTTGAATTCATCTCGTTTTCCTCACATATTCTTGTTCATCTTGTTCGTTAATGAATGACTCGGATTCCCTGCTGCCTCGCCCTAAGAGGAACTTGTCATCGTGATTGGAGTGCGCGATGCCGCGGGCCACGGCAACTAGTCCCCAACCGTCACGGGCCTAAATCCGTGTCGCTACCAAGTACACCGACTGTCGTGCTTCACCGAAATCTAAGCCATCTTCTTCCATGTCCAACCCGCACATCCCTCCAATCCCTCTCGACAGCAGCCTCTACTCTCTCGATGAAGCCGAACTCGCCTTCTTCAAAGCTCAAACTGGAATACAGGACGAAGAAGAGTTGAAGAAGCACATCATCGCCGTTCAAGAAAAGGCATACAAGGTATGTCTACGTTTTCTCAATACTGAAGGTTCGTCAGCATACAAAATCGTCTAAACCAGGTCTATCCATACCCCTGCATCAGGAGGTTCTCATTCACCAAGTGATTCTCCATCCTTCTTCATCGTGTTTTGATCTGGGATGTGAACATGGTGCATGTAGGATTAAGGTTGCTCGCCTCCCTGGGTATAAAATGGACTTGATGGAAATGGCCAAGAACCGAAAAGGAGCTATTTTCCTCGATATTGGATGTGGCTGTAAGTCAGTTCAGCTTATCATTTCAGGGACGAATAAACTGAGCAATACATTATTTAGTTGGAAATGCTACTCGGAAGGTTGTCTTTGACGGTTTCCCTATCGAAGGTGTCATCGCATCTGATCTCCGACGAGGTTCGTCATAGTCTCTCGCATAGAAACCAGGTTTGCTAACTGACCGTTCCCCATCAGAGTTTTGGGATTTTGGACACGAATTATTCAAATCAACTCCCGAGACATTCCCAGTTCCCTTCATCCAAGGAGACGCGTTCGACTCCAACTTCATCGCACCCAATCCAGTCCTTTACGACGAACCTCCGACCGAGCCGACACCTCCCCTAGCATCGCTTACCTCCCTAAACCCTCTCCGCGGATACATCTCCGCCATCCACGCCTCCTCATTCTTCCATCTCTTCTCCGAAGATCTCCAACGCGAACTTGGAGAACGTCTCGCCTCGCTACTATCCCCTCTCCCTGGTTCAATCATCTTTGGCTCTCACATTGGTTTGCTGGAGAAGGGTCTCATACATGGTGAGGGCGCCAGAGCTGGTTTCTCGATGTTTTGTCATTCCCCACAGAGTTGGCGAGAACTTTGGAATGGAGGTATTTTTAAGAAGGGGAGTGTCCAGGCTTTTGCGATGGTGAAGGAGGTTGAGAGAACGGTTGGGGATAAGGTTGTGAAGATGCAGATGTTGGTTTGGTGTGTCAAGAGACTGGCCGACGGAGTGGTATTAGATTGTGGACCAACACGTGTGTAGAAGCTGCAGAATCCAAATGTAACAACAGTTGGTGCGTCGAATTGAGAGGTGCAGGACGGGAAACAAAGCAGAGTTCGATGGCGAGAAACAGACATTAGAGGGCAACTTCGAGCGAAGTCGTGGAATTCAAACTTTTCATGGAGGAAGCAAAAAGCGTCACCTGTGCGATTCGAACACACGCGGGCAAAGCCCAACCGCTGGAATGCTTGATAGCAGGCGATCCCGTTAACCACTCCGGCAAAGTGACATGTACGTTGCTCCATGCATAGAGTATATGATGGCAGGGAAGGTTTCACTAAAGTATTAGGGGAGAACCAGCATCCCACCCTTCACAGTTTCGCCTTTTCTCTTTCGCATTGATGACTCTGAAAGAATCAGAATGATGGGACTTCAACGGGGCAAAGTCGCCTCGATCTAGACATTTCGCATATGGGGAGCACGATGACGTCAGAACGGCAACCAGGTGCTGTACTGTCATGAGAAGTGAACTTGGAGAATTCGCCTTTCCTTTGCTACTCACACCCATACTCGTTACTTGCTACTTTAAGAATCCCAACCATGCCCACAACCCGTCGACAAGCCAAGGTCAAGGGAGCGGAATTCGCAACTGACGAAGTTACTGAGGTCCCCAAGAAGACCAGGCGAGTAAAAGCACCGAGAAAGAAGGCAGGCAAGGGGAAAGAGCAGACAGAGAAAGAGAAAGAAATAGGCGAGAAACGATCCGTAGAGGAACTACAGGAGGAAGGAAATGATGAACAGGAGCAACCTGCGAAGAAGAGTAAGGCCGAGGAAGATGCGAAGGTGGACCACTCGCGCCTGAGCGGTACGTACGCACGGTGGAGTTTACAACTTGTCGTCACAGATCGCTGAGCGCGTTCACTTTTCAGGAGTGATTGAACGTGGCCACATATACTTCTTCTACCGCCCAAAAGTCCAGATCGAAGAAGCAGAATCGCTCGATGATGTCCGAAACTTTCATATTCTCTTGGTTCCACGTCCTCCCGCGTTCTCTGTCGAGGAAAACGATGGCGGCACCAACGCAGCAGGGGGTGATGAGGTCGACGAGCGCGACGCGATGAATCTGATTCCCAGTGGGGCAGACGCGGTTCCAGCCAAAGAGACAAAAGACGAAGAGAAGAAGAAATTCAGAGTCATAACCGTCGGGAAGAAACAGTTGCCAGACCCGGACAGCGGAGGGGGCGGAAAGGGTAGAAAGGAGGTATTTTGGGCGACCGTGACATCTGTAGGAGATGATTTGCACAAGTTAGAAGAAGGACTAGGTGAAAAGGAATACAAGACTAAGACGAGAGGTATGTGATCCCTGGCAATCACGGTGGGATAGTCCTGATCTGGCATACCTACCGACAGGGACAAGGCACGAGGAGCCAGCTCGCCTCGTCGGCCGTGGGGCCTATGCAATAGTCAACAACGACCCATCAACACCTTCCAAAGCCGAGACACACCTCGGATACCACCTCTCCCACCCTTCTCCATCTGAGCTGGGTCAGGTCCAAACAGATATGCGTATTTTTTCCGCGTCATCATTCATTCTACAAGTCAAAAACCCTTTGGCTCCGGCCACCGGACGTGGAGCCCCTCGAGGAAAAGGGACAGAATACCCTCAAGAGATCATGACTAAGGTGTTTGGGAAAGGAGTTCGAGGTAGGGAGAAATATGGCCTGAGGTTCGCGAGTATCTCGAGACCAGAGATATTGGATTATTCGGGGACGCAGTTGCTGTTGATCGGAGCGAGGGAAGGGGAAGTGGGACTCGAGGCAAGTCTAGGAGAGGGCAGAGGGGAAGGTAGAGTTTCGTTAAACCCTTCTACCGCTGAATCTCACACTCCATCTTTCAGCACTCCGCGAATTGGAAGAAGAAGAGAGCCACGAGAGTATCGAAGAAGTGCTCAAAGAGCTTGCAATGGACGAGGGTAAAATCCCCGCAGAGCCGTTGAAAGGAAGTTGGCTTTGAAGGTAGTAAACACCTGAACATAATTTACTTGTAAGATATAGTGCAGAATGATATACGGAGGAAAGATGCACCATTGAAACATAGGTCGTGAAGATTCGTGCAATGGTCAGCATAAGGGAGGTGTACAACGTCAACACAAATAGGGATACAAACAATGTCCAAGCTCGTCATAAGGAGTCCACGTCGAAATTCTCGGGGTCTGCGTTTACCCTCAGTACCTTCACCCACTCTCGATAGTTGAAATTCCCCTGACGATCGGTGAATGGACCTTTCAGCAACTTGTCGATCTGCGAAGAAGGTCAGGCCACTCCAAGCTCAACAGGGTAGAACACGCACCTCTCTCTGATCCATCCGTTCCCCAACCTCGGCCAACCATTTCCTCATCTCGTCGCACTTGACAAATCCTGTATCATTTTCATCAAAACACTCAAAGGCCTCCAGGAGCTCCGCCTCTGTGTCAAACTCGAAAAGGTGTTCGCCCATCATGGTGAGGAACATGGTAAAGTTGATGCCCCCGCGATCAGCAGCGTCGTCAGATGAGGGTGTTCTTGCGTGTGATCCAGGGCGTGCGCTCAGGAGATCTGCCATCATATGTTTATTGGGCTGGATACCTGGAAATCGTGAATGAGGCGAAGCCACTGATCGAAGTCGAACCAACTCACCCAAGCTGGCGAATATCTCCCTGAGATCCTTCTCGCTGACAATCCCATCTCTGTCCTGGTCAATCAGCGTGAACGCTTCCTTGAATTGTTGAATCTGCGGAGCATTGAACAACTGGAAAACGCCTGATGGTTCCCGTCTCGCTCGAGATTTCTGCGCTTTCGTGAGTTTTGGATTGGGCGAGAGGTAGTCGGGATATCGCGACATTTATGAATACTCGTCCTGACACAAGCGTCGCGAAAGAATGGTTGTCGTAGAGGAATTAGTGCGTCTGGAGATGGAGAGAGGGGTCCAGAATAGGAGGTTGAAGCGGTGAAATAACGCCCGCTGGAAGACGCGTCTCTTTGTCTGCCCTTGACTTCTTTTCTTCTAGTCTGAGTCAAGTCCCAAGTCAAGTTCACACAGAACGCCTTAGACAACTTGAGAAGACTCGAGAGCAATTCCTCGAAGCGGGAGCTGTAGGACTATGGCGTGCATTACGGTTCCTCCAGGCAATAAAAATCAAGCAGAACTGCCGTGTAGCAGCTACGATAGGCGTGGTGGAGTGGAGGTGCGCCAAGACAGCATTGACACGAGAATGAGTATACATGAGCAACATAGAGAACTGTCCGGAGAAATCATTGCAACACATCAGCACCCCGACAATTTCACCTCTTGACGTGGAATACAGTCCGGCATCGTCTCCCTACCACCAAAGCCAGGTCCTGATATAATGGTCACGAATACAAACACCGCAATAACAATGGGAGAGACGGACCACGACAAGGCTTGACAAACTCAATCGCTTCCGGCGGACAGGTGGCGGGGTGCATCCATCTGTTGGCTGGGTGTGCAACGCAGCATCAATGCTGAGAGCCGCTCGCGTCTCCTCGTCGGTAGGCATCCCTCCCTGTGACAACGAAAATGAGCAAAATTTTCTGACAAAAAGTCCATCGCCGGAACATACCCAAGATAACAACGGAAAGGCCTGTGGATCTTGGTCTCGATAATCCACTGTCACCTATGCGGGGAACGTGAGACCATGCAGCATAAACAGGCATGAGTTGCTACCATAAGTGGATCTTCAAGCCTGGGTTGAGGTGAGGGAGGATGCGAACGCCGCCGTTTAAGACGGGTTCGGCGGTAAGCGAACAAATCCGACGGGTGTTGGCCTTGAGTAATGACGAGAGTAAACGAAGGGTAAGCAGGCTCAAGTGGCCGCATGATCGCCATGGACTTAAGGGGATATCGGTTCCGTCAATGTTGGGACGACGAAAAGGAGAGGACACGAGTGGTCGAAAGGAAAGGCAGGGTTCAGATTCGCAAGTATTCGTTGAATAGCGTATTTCATATGGCGGCGTTGTAAGATCCCGATGGTCAGATCAATCCCATATTGGAGATGCGACGCGACCAATGGGGCGATGAAGCGAAAGGAACTCTGGCGATGATAACCAGCTTCACCATGCATTCGCGCTCGTGTTTGTGCAGGTAAACTCCTAGCCTTCGACACTCTTCTCCTTTGGGGTGGTTTCACCAAGAACTTGGATCCAGCCTGGCGCCCTAGACGAACCGACCGACGAAGCCTGCCCGAAGCTTGAAACGGAAAGGACGGGACAGGACAGGGCAGGATAGACCGGCGACATGTCAGATACTTGGGGAGCTCGCTGTGCTGGAATCTGTGGTGAGTTGCAGGTGCTATTCAATGGCGGTCGAATAGCATTCGAATGCGATGTACCACTCCGCAGGGTCCACCGCTTGGACATGTCACTAGGAGGCGCAAAACAACAAAGGAGAATGATCAGTTCAAGATGCTATACCAGCACTGTTCAGCTTTCCCGACTTCTATTCCATCGAAAATCCACGGGACCACCACCCTCTTCAATTATCGTCCGCCTTTCATTCACTGGTCACACCCTGTGACGTCACACCACACACATCGCTTTCCGAGTCCAACACCAAGTGCAAGGGATGAGGATGAACTCGCACCGGTCAACCCCCGTCCTCGATACCGGCAAGAAGTTGTCCCAAACAACTGGCTCGAGGGGAGATGTGTGATCAAGATTTATCAAGTCCACCACGCACCAGTATTCGCCAGCCTACATGCGACACCGGTTTCAACATCGACTTATGGGGCGCCCTTTCCAACTCAGAACACAAAAAAGATTTACGCAAATGAAGCAAGGGTGAAGACACGATAGACATACCTTTGGATCATCAACCTTTAGGCCCTGCAATGGAATCTTTTGAAGAGTCTCCTCCTCGCATCTTCAGATGGCGCTACCAAAACCCTGCTCCGTAACCCTTCTCTTCCATAGTACCAAGCTTTAACGCAGCACCGGCTATGGTTGATCTAGTGGCATGTCGCTGAAGGCGATAGAAAATCCTTGTCGCCCTTGTTGTCGCCCAGTATGTGTCATTTGCGAAAGATAACTGGCAGACTGCCAGGTCCAGCGTGTTTCACGAAGGGGACGACAGCTGCATTCAAGATATCCGTGGTCGCCAAGTACAAGCGTCGAAGCCCCGGTCAAGAGTAAAATTCTTTGCAGAACTTCGAGCGGTCCAAATTTCGGAGGGGTCTCGAATGATTCGCCCACTTTGTACCCGCCAAAAGCACTCCTCTGGGATTTCGTCGAAGCC